CCACTCTTTTCCATTTTATTTTGCATTACAAAACATGGTTATGAATGTCAGTATATTCCGAGTTTTGCCATGCTAAAGTTTGATAGAAAGGAAATTAGCATGGCACCTAATGAACTACACATTCTTGTACATAGGAATGCAAGGGTCAGAGGGAGGGGGCAGAGGCAGAGAGCAAACCATTCTTTATTGAAAACAAAGTCTATTGACTCAGTAGATGAAAGATGGGTGAAAGAAATAGTTTTAACCTTTTGTAATATATTCTCAAGGAATGTTTTCACTTTGTGTAAAGGAAAGAATTGTGATTTATATCCTTTGTAAGGCATACATTCTGGTTGCAGTAATAAGCCACATAGAGCATGTTTCTTGCATCAACAAGAGCTTGTATCTTGCTCTATCAAACTTCAGACCTAGCTGTCCTCATATAGAATGGAGTGATTGTTTGTAGATCTGATACTGAGTTTGATTCTCTCGCCACTAAACACCACATTATCATTGATAATATTCTTTCACCATTTACAACTCCCTTTTAACATTCATAATACAATTCACCATTTACAACACCAATTCACAATTTACAATGCCCTTTCACCATTTACAACACCAATTAACCATCACAGCACCAATTCACCATACAACACCCTTTCACCATTCACAACATCCTTTCAACATATACAGCACCAATTCACCATTTACAACTCCCTTTCACCATTTACAGCACCAATTCACCATTTACAACACCAATTCACCATACAACACCCTTTCACCATTCACAACATCCTTTCAACATATACAACACCTATGAAACATTTATTTTCACATCAAGAAAGTGAGAACAGACCAAAGCTGAAAGGTCCGATTTGTAATCTAGGCTAATATTCTATATTTTCATCACTGCCAGCTTATCTTATATATATGGTGGTCAGCTGGTGAAAGGGAGGGGGTAATTCTATTAATATAGTAACACTCAGCCTAGCCAAAATACTTCACTATGGGTCATACAAATTCTTCTTTTACTTCATAAAATTTGAATAAAATGTCTGATTTTCTTGCATTTCTATTTAATTTAAAGTCTTAGCTTTGAGAATATGAAAGCCATTCATCTTCAGCATCTCTGGTTTTTCTTAATTTTTGCGATTAAAAGAATGACGTTTTCACTAAAAAGCATCAAAGTGGGGTTATCTATCCTCCTTAACATATGTGAAGAAATGTTAGTACTATATTGGGGTGAGCGATTCAGTGATAACCCTTTGGAAATCCCACCGAGGTCATGTTTTAAAATGCAAAATAGAGTGAAAAAGAGAGGAAAAACCAAGAAATAAAGTAAACAGGCATGAAGATAATACTCTAAATTATACGGAAATGGAAGAACATAATACAGTTCATTCAAATTTTAGAGAGAAAATCGTGAAATAGGGATGACCTCGCCGATGTTATTTTTGATGAGAGACACTGAAGTACAAGCGCCAACAGGTAAAGCTGGTTAGGTTCAGCCGGAAAATGCAAACCTGGTATCGCATTTATTAAGTTTTGATATCCAATTGATTCCATAATATATTCACATCAAACATGAAGATTGATCTTCCCAGAACAAATCTGTTCTGTTTCTTGTCTGTCTTTTTTGATGACTCACTAATGTTTTTTACAGGAATATGCCTGATCTGTAGATTATTTCTCCAACGAAATAGCCTTTTTGACCCCCCCTCCCTCTCCCTTCTTTACCAAGGTTCGCAAACCATTTCTATAATGAAAAGCATCCCTAGATGCCCCACACCCTCTATTTTTCCTCAAATCTATCTTTATCTGTAATTTGAATTTATTAATAATTTCGGCAGTTAAAGAGAGACTACGAGTGCTAGAGTCTGGACTAAGTCTATCATTACTTCAAATTAATATTCATTTTTTGAATTCCATGGCTCAAACCATCATGGCTTGCTCTAATGACTTTTATAGGTTGCTCTCTTAATATCTATGGAATTCAATAAAATACATATTTCACAAGCTCTGGAATATCTCTGTTTCTGATCTTATGGAACATGATCATCTCTGAACTGTGTTCTGATGCCTTGGTATTTACCCTAACTATTTCTTGGATACAAGAAAAATGTGACCACTATCTCAGTTTATTTATATACAACAGTATACAAGCATGTTAGGGTAAAATACCTGTATATTCTGGAAATACCTCCAGTAGAAAACATTTACTATAACTGTTGTAAAGAATTTCTGGTTGTGTATTTTTCAACACTACAAATATTGCTCCGTCTCTCTGTCTAAAGTGAGCACTGTTGGAGTCAGTAACAAGCGTTACGTTACGTTGGTTACATGTTTTAAACTTGTAACACAAGTGTTCCCATCATTTCATACTCTGATATAGTAGTAAAAACAAATGTAAAGGTATTGTAGGCATTTAAGATAATACTTTTAGGATAATATTTAGGATAACGTTGAAGCCAATAAGTTATCCACAAATCACCAGAAAGTGGTTACATATAGTTATTTTGATAAAAAGGGAGTCCGGAAATATCCCAAACATGCAATTTATTTTAATTAATTTTATCTGATATGAGCCCACTTAGTCCAGTCAACTCTCATACATCTCAAGCACCCATAGTGAGAGGTCTGTCAGTACAAACATAACCACAACATCAAATATTACAGCCTTTGAATGTAATAAAACATAACTCAAAGCTCTAGATAGTGAAATCTCTTGTAAGACTGGTACCATCTGGGGCTACCCTGAATCTTAAAGGCCAGCAGTCATTGGGAAATGAAGCAAATTCTTGAAAAGGTTATACAATGTAGTAGGCTTGGCCAGAAAGACCCCCCCCCCACCACACACATACTGTGTGTCTTTATATTCCAAGATCTTGATCAAAAAGAGAAAGAACATGAGCTGAAGATGTGGCCTCATTTTCTCCATTCCCGTCAAAAAACCATGGTCTTCCTCATTTACAATCTAGGAAAACCAGGCTTTAAATCCCCATCGCTTCTTTCCTAGTCATTCACAGGGCAAATAACAAGTCTTAGTCTGTTAGTACAGAGCCAGGCTGTGCACTGTATGCTTCTGTGGTTTAACATGTATGCACTTTGCATGGAACTGTTTTTTATGAAAACATGTTTATATTTGGCCTTTGACTCAGGCATGTAGCACTTAAAGTGTTATATTTACAGGTATAATGTTTCTGCATATGGTTTTCCTAACTATTACCAAACTACACATTTTTGCTTTTACTCAAATCTCCTGTTTGATGTTTTAGTTGGAAGACGGCAGTCTCAAATGAAAACCAATCTCAGGCAAAGCCCGGAAAGTTAGAATTACAGTAAAATTTAGTGTAACACCTTTGGAAAAAAAATAGAGGTTCATCTAACATCAGTTGGTCTTGGGACTCAGAAAAGTGTTCCACTAACAGAGGTGTTCTTCTAGAGGTGTTCACCTTTACAGGTTTCACTGTATTGGCCAAATCCTTTGTTCATGTGTACTGGCAATGTTTTCTTGCGCATTGGCACTAAGAGACATGAACACCCAAAGATATTTTAAAAAGTAAAGAAAAATAGATGAAGATAAAGTTGGGAGAGATAGATATATATATTCAAGATTTAATATTTGTTTCCCTAAAATCTATCACTGCCAAAAATCAGAATTAGAAAATCTAACATCTGGGAAGCAGATTTGGTCAAAATTAAATAGGTTGCTATGGTAACATATATGTTAACGATCATGTGGTTTGATGTGTGGTAAAGAATAAAATTATGGGTCAAGCTACAGAGGCATTTTAGAAAACACAACTTTTGGTTCTAAAGTAACGCTAACTTTTTAATTTTATAAACATGTATATTACCATGGTTACGCATATTTTTGATGTGGGGAAACTGAAACATATATTTCATTTCTGGTGCTATAAAGGCAACTTAAAAACACAGCTGATGATAAACTAGAACTGAGATTTACTATGAAAACATTGCATTGAGATAAATCTATCACATTCCCACTTGTGGCCTTGACATTTGAGTTGAAAATTACATTTCTCGAAGATTCCTGATAAGAATAAGTGTTAGGTGAAAAACTAAGTATAAACACATTTTGAGGGGTAATATATAAATGGAGAGAAGAGATAACACGAGAATAAATAAATAATAGCAGGGTAACTCATGTTCACCAAGTTTTTTGTTGGCTGAAGATGATTTCAAAGGTTTGCTTGAAATCACACAAATGTTGGCATTCTTTTATATTTCTCAAAATTTCAAGAGCTATTTTTAAGATTTTAGTTTGAAACAAAGTTTGGTTTAGCTATGAGAGTGGGGCAAAATTGGACAGGAGCAAAAAGGCAAGGCACCCTGAATTGACTGTTCATTCAAACACCACTTTTCAATCAATGATGCTGAACTGTTTTACATATACATGTACACAAATTGATTAGTATTTTGAGTAGAACTATCAATAATGTCAAATTCAACTTTCACAGGTTCTCTGGACAAGAATCTGTGTGTCTACAACTTTATTCAGGTTTGTTCGTACCCCCATTTGACATGATAGGAAAAAAGATGGAGCCAGTTCATATACTGGTGCTATACGCCTCTACCCTGTGGCTCAGTGTCTAGTAACTACTACACATTATTGCATAAATGCAGCTCTAATAATCCAACTATTAGAAAGGGTAATATTCCTCAAGTTCCATGAGGAAACTATTAGTACTTGATGACCATTGCATTCAGGAAATAGCAGCTGTGGGGTGCCCAATCCATCCTTGGAGATGATATGTGTCAGATTTAGGATAGAATACTGTAAACTGTATACATTGATCCCAACCTTGGTTAGTTTCTTATGAAAAAGGTATGCCATAAAAAGTTTGCATCTTATGTCTATCAAATAGAATTTATTTCTCGCTTTATGTATGTAAAGTCTGACCGATGGACGGTGGTAGAATAGTCCCTACCCACCTCCCCCAAACACATCCCTGGGTCTGACACGTAATGGATGTCATGAATTTAAAGTGACTTACTTGGCTCAAGGCAGTTGACTCCATTGCCATATAATGCTGAGGAACACTCGCAACAATATCCCCCCTTGAATGTACGGTCGTCATAGTAATCCTGACACGTGGAAGTGGCGTGGCACTTGCTGGCCCCAGTGGCGCATGTTTCGTCAACATTTGGTCTGACTGTATGGACTTCAACTGAAACATTGAGAGAAATAATCATAAGATGGGAATAATAATAGTAAAAGTCTAAAGGAGATTTTCCTTTTGAGGGGCTTCTTCCTCAGGAGATCATGAGTTTGATTTACAGTACTTGTATATGGCTCCTTCAGTGTGACATCACATGTTCGACTGAAACAAATCACAAGCAAATTAATGAACAGTACAAAATATTATTATTCATTATCATTTGATAACTCATTACACACATCTATCCAGGACATCTTGAGCACATAGGGTAAACTTAGAAAAACACAAAAACACTGCTATTAAACTTGAAACCTATAAAATAAAAGAAGTAGAAGTACAGTTCCTTTTTCTAAAGTAAAAATACTATGCTATGGTTTTGCACTTAAATTCCAGGACTGCACTATTTGCCTTAATGCAAAAGACAGACATAATCAATCAAGTGTAAGTCTGGAATCCTGTTTATAAAGGCTTACAAATACATCATATTACAGAATAAATCCAAGAGGAATTGCCTTTTGACATGTGCTGATTTGTTATTACAGATGTAGTTATGCAATATACTTGAGTTCCACTTAGTAAATGTTGTTCTCATCATCTGAAACTTGTACTGAACTTGCATAACAATTTATTAATGCATGCCAGATTGATGGTGATATGAACAATGATGAGAATATGGGTGACAATGATGACAGTCATGTGACAATGATGACATAACAGTATTAACTATGATGATTACATTGTCAAATGATGACAATATTGTGACGATGATGGTAGAACAATGATGATAGACAGTATTATAACAATGATGATAACATCAGTAACAATGATGATATGAAAACACTGTTACATTTATATCAACAAATGCAGCAACACTGAAAATATTAGGATAATGCCATGTATGAAATTGAAGTGTTTTCAAAACTAATCAAAACTAATCAAACTTAGAAGGACGGACGGACGGACGGACCAATGGACGGACCAACGGATGGATGGACCAATGGATGGACCAACGGACAGACGGACCAACGGACGGACACCTGGTCGATACCATAGGCTCACTGTGTGAGCCAAAAAGTGAGAGATATTCATAACAGTAAATAAGACATAATTTGGCAATACAGGAAATAATAAACGAAAGTGTTTATGAGAAGATACTTAAGACATAAGCACCATTTGCTGTCCATTATGATTCTATGCATGCTATACAGTTTGGTTGCTGAACTATTTCTTGTAAAACAATCGTAGGATACAGCCAGATCCTTATTTTTTTGAAAATCATAAACATTCTAATTTTAATCTTGACCCCTGCCACAGAAAAATGTTAATAGGTAAACATATGCGTGTACATCCTTGTAGTCTAAAGACAGAAATATTTACACTAATTTAGACTAATTAATTACAAAGAGTGTAATTTGAAAGAGAGGATACTGAAGTTGAAGTTAAGAGATCATACAACCATTTTAATTTTAATAAGAAACTGTGAAAAATTCCCCATCCCTCATCCAGAAAAACACAAGTGAAATATTACAGGGGTCACATTTTAAGGTCAAATGTCTTTATGAAATAGACACAAATACAATAATGCCACGAATTAATGTCAGTTATATTGTATCTTTTATATACCCCAAAATAGGCGAAATAAAAGATTAATTGTTCAGCTATTCAGTAGTTTTATTACTACTCAAGTACAATGTTATTAATAATTTCAGCAATTTCAACTTCAAAAGTAGATCTTAATACATGAGCTTTTAATGTGTAGTGCATTTAGTACCGAAGGGGGGGGGGGGGTGCATTTGGCCTTTGAGGACTTGAAGGGGACCTGCAAATATGATACACATCAATAGTGAGCTCTTCAAGAGAGAAAGAAAAACTTTCCCATTTTTACTGAAAACATCCATGTATGTGAATATTTAGATAAATTTTCTCACCCCCCCCCTTGCTTAGTGCAAATGATACAAACGTGAGAGATGTAAGATTACTGACTTTTTATTTAATCCCCATGGCATGCTATTCAAACAGGTCTTACTATACTATTTTTCTTTCTAAGTTTCACTATCTTCAAGTAAAAATACTATTCAGACCATATGTGCTGTTCATATATCCAAAGGGAGATAACCTATTTACACCATATCCTGCACATGATAGCCCTTAGATAACCTAGAGCTCTTTGATTCCAGATTTGGAACAAATTATTTCATCTTTAGATAATATACATGTATATCCAGGATTATCTTTTATTTTGGCTTCCATGTATTCTGGATGATTTATGTTTTATAAACCCTTCTTAATTATACTTAAGTTTTAATCATTGAAACTATTTCAAAACTCTCTTTGGTTTTAGGCAACCAATCCATTTTACCCTTTTTAGAAAAAAACATTTGCACCTAGTTGGGGGTGAGGGTTTTCTGTCTGATACTCTCTCCCTCTTTAAGCAATTTTCTTTTTAATTCTTATAAATGTTATGAGTTATGAATCTAACAAAAAGTACAATCACCAAATACAGTCCAGAACACAGCCTCAAAAACATGATGGCTAAATTATGCAGACAGAATGGACCATGTCTTTCCGAAGCCTATATTTTGAGACTGTGCACAAACTGTCAGTAACATATTTCTTACTTGTTCATTTTCAACAAATCTGTTTTTTAAATCTTCAATGTTCAAACAACACACAGTTGTTGTAATACAGAACATTCTTACAAACTTTTAGACATATTTGCGATTTATTGCAACAGACTAACAAGTACCATACAAAATACATTCCAACGTACAAAACTGAACCTATAGGTCATATTCCTAAATTCCTATATTTCCCCTTTTGCACCAGTACGGGTGATACTAAAATATGGTACTTAAAATTGATTCTTAAAATTATTGTTTTCAGCTACACAATGTCTAATATTATGGCTTCCTAGCCTTAGTTATAAATAAATGGTTATAAACTTTTTCATGCATTTTTCTTTGCAACTACATAGTTATGACTGATTTCATAAAAGTACTATTCTTGTAGTAATGCAAAAAGATCAACCAACTATCACGACTTTGGCTGACTTGCCCGACAATACTGATGAACTCAACAAATAATGAGCTCACAACAATATAACCAAGTATTAACTACAAAAACATAAAAATACATGTCATTTTGTCAAAATAACCAAACCTAAATGATGTTTTAAAAATGACATCACCATGTAAATATTCATTCTTACAGAATATCAGAATTCTTCTATCACAAAACACACAACATTGTGTTTCAACCAAAGCTATATTCTGATACCAGAGGGTATCAACAGGTATCAATATATTCAGAGTAAATTAATATGATTCAATGAGATTTAATGAACAGGAAATGCCTGTTAGAAATCATGATTTTGCGTTTAAGCTATAGAACTTAAATAGAGCAACTCTGAATGTTTTAACACATTTATCAGTACAGCCTGACATTACACTATAAGTTTGTTTTTCCTAAAAATACATTAATTCCCTTGTAAAGATTTATATGCATTGCACATTTTTCTGTTTGTGTTGATGAAAGGTTTTTATTGAAACTTTTAGAAAACTGAATTTGTAAACTTTGCAAAACTTTACTTTTATGTCTATTGTTGCCTTTACCAAACTTGTTAATTTTTGGGCTTATTATAGCTAAGCTGGCAGAATTGAAATCAGACAGTTTTTTATTTACTTTTACATATTTTGTTGTCATTTCCTTTTTAACACAAATAATTAGCATTTTGATATTCTAGAATGAGACACATTGACCTAACAGAAGTATAACACAAAATATAAGCTTGAGTAGATTTCATGTTAAGGCAATTTTTTAAAAAAAATTCATTACCTGGGTGGCCTCTTTTGCAATGAAAGAATTATAAAATATGTTCAATTAAATTATTCATCGCAACCATGTAGACAAATGCTTCATTTCCATTTAAAATATATGAGCAGTTACACAGGTTTAGATCAAAATGTTTTTGTTTTTGAGCTTTAATTAGTCTGGCAGAGTTTGTGTTGACATAAGGTTTAATTTATGATATCCAACAAGCACTAATTAATTCTTTGATCGCTTTTCCATCATTTCAAAACAACATAACAAAATTCTACTAAAAACTGACAAGTCTACTTCGTAAAAACTGAAAAAAAAACTGAAAAAAGCCTCACCGAAAGGTACACCTAATTTAACAAGAGCCTATAATTTTTTAACTTACCTAATAATATATATAAAGTAGCTAGGAGACAGTGCTTTATTAGTTGTATACTCCCCATCCTTAACTTTTAGGTCTGGAGTCTTAATCCAATACCAGTTGAGTGACGGAGATTTATAGTACGAGCTTAGAGTCCCAGAGTAGAGTCGATTGGCTGCTAGATACTAAGGGAGATAACTTGCACAACACTGAATATTAATTCGTAGTAATCCAAACTTAGATATCTATCTGCAGAAGATGAGTGAGATTAGGGATAATCCACACTAATCCTTTGGCCACTAATCCGATCTAATCCTTTGTAGACCATTGATGGTACAAGTGTTGTCGGCCAGGATAGGAGCTCCAAGTTTATCAATGGATCTAAGATCTGGGGTAAAAGCCTCTTTCTTGTTAGCTGCTACTCCAGATGAGTATGGATGCTATATTTCACCCAAACTCAGCACATCGGTGTAGTGGCAGCTAGTCCTTACAAAAAAGTTCAACCTCAGGTACATGTACTCATCAGAAAACTTCCCGTTTTTGGAAGAACAAGTAATTCTTTGTATTGGTAGGTCTTAACAGAAAACGATTCACGATGTTTATTTAAGAAAATATTTATTTTGTGATGCGTACTTATGAAAGAAATTCAAGGCCTTCTTGACATTTTAAAAGGAAAGGGAGAGAAGAGGTGGTGGCTTCCCAAAAGAACTAAAGAAGCCCCAAATCTCCCAAAGTAGCTATATTATCCCTATAGGAGATTAACCATTCCAACCTAGGAATCTTTACTCTTCCAAAATTCTGGAAAAATTCCCAAATTTAAAAAAAATCCGGAAATAATACAAAACTGTCTGAACTGTTTATGGACCAAATTTAGATTTAGATGTAATAAATTTGCTGATACATCATCAGTAAATGCCATAACTTCACATCAAATTATCTTAAGTAAGAGTAACCAGTTCCAAAAGTTCTTGGCTTTAGAAAAAAGTGACTTCCCATTTAAAAAATACCTGAATGTTTCGTATTTTATATATTCACAAATATAACAAATTGGAGAAATTAGATTAAAAATTTAGAAACAATTGCAAAACTATAAAAAATCATATAGAATTAACGAAAATCATGCATTACATTCAGTGAAAAATTCATGAAAAAGCATGAAATTTGAGAAAATTTATGAACAGGTTTATGTAGATCAGATGTAAGTCTCAGTCACACAAATCCAAAAATCCCTTCCACAAAATTTCACATCTACCCCAGGATTTGATCACTCCTTCTAAAAACCCTAAAAAAGGTATCAAATTTTCTAGAATTTTCTTACAATCCAGTGTATGCTCTTTGTGCATGCATACTTTAATCCTTTGTTTTTCCTCAGGTTTGCATGTATGTCACAAGAAAAAAACAAAGCCGTGTTATATTCCATTCAAAGCAAAGTCTGGTACAAGTCTTTGACACTTTGTCTGTTTTAGAAACCTCAATGGTACCATATATTCTTCAATTGTTTTTCTCCTGTTTAAAATAAACTTTTTAACTTACATCCTTCTAACACACATGTACAAGCTTAACCCTACTATTAAACAAGTCAGGTGTCCTAAAAACCGCTGTCCTTTTTCCGATTTGTCACCTGCTCAACGCATACCTGATAATGTTCATTTATGGCACATTTCGGCAATAACTCATCCTAAATACTCTAAATACACACTGTATCTGTTTAAAATCATTTTATGATATTTTTTAAGTCTGATGCACACTGATTATTTTTTCATGTCCTTGGTTTACCTGTGGAAGTGTCATTTAAGTGTCATTAGTATAAATGACACTGTACATGTGTATTTATCTGAATGCTCCTATCTCACCTATTTCATGGGAACATGAAGATGCACTCTTTTTAGGTTGTACTGAAGATGGGAAACATACATGATCTTATCTTTATTAAAGTCATGCACCAATCTACTTGAAGAGGGCAATTTATATCATATCATGTACATGTACATGGTTAAGATGTCAAATTAGGATGTTTTGATGAATAAGGAAAATTCAAAATACATGATCTTATCTTTATTTAAACCACACACAAATATATATCATCTTTACTTCGATCATGCATCTACAAATTCAAAAATCAAGAAGTGCAATTTATAAACCTTGTGTATATTATTGACCATTTTCTATATTTCCTTGTTTTTATTGTGAAACATTGAGACACATGCATATGGTTAATTTTATTCAATTTGACCAACAGCATTCTAAGAACAGAAAAATAACATGAAATGTTACCCTAACAGGCTTGTAGCCAGGGAGGGTTCGATGGGTTTGAGCAACCCCCCCCCCTTGCCCAAAAAAATCTTTCAAAAGTCATGTAGTTTTTCACCATTCTGAGCACTTTTTAAGTGATTTTGGCCATTTTTGGACCAAAATTGTCACAAGTGAACCCCCCCTGGAATTTTTCAAAAAGTGAACCCCCCTTGGCAAATCCTGGCTACTGGCCTGCCTAAGACCCTGAAGCTAGCTGTAGTAACATCTGAATATGACAGATAAGTTTTTAAGCTGGTAAGGTCCTAATAGATGTCACATCCATTCATGGGAAGTTTATAAATGAAATAAATATAGTTTTTAGGAAGGCATAACATTTTATATAATTCTGATTAAAGTATTTTACTCTAACTTAAAATCTGATTAGGTATTGTGAGATCAATGGTTTATCTCTGCTCCAAAGAGTGTAGATGTATTTCTTTTATGGAAAAGGGTAATATGAAATATATAAATGAGCAACAAATCTTCATGACAACATGAACTAAATATTGGCAAAGTTTCTAGATCATTTCAATCCAACGTGCCACATGTAATTAACACCCTTTCTTGAATTTAATGAAAATTGGCTCCATTGATTAGGTGAAACCACACAACAATTCATTTTTTGGCAGGACCATAACAGCCTAGAGGACCATACAGTTTGGTGCACAGTATCAATACAAGAAATACATCAAATCGAGGTGCCACTTTTTCTACTAAGACTCATTTGGTCACCAAAATTCGTTAAACCATATTATCTTTTTATATTGTTTGTTGTGAGAGTGAATTCATGAAACAAAGAAACAATGATAAATGTTGAATGAAAATTCTGACTTACATGTATCAATTCAAGTACTAACCCCTCCCCCTCTACTTTTTATTCCGATATCATATATTTGGGCAAGTATTTATGCAGTTTCAAAATTGATGTGAAAATCTGGTTTCTCAAATGAGATTAACAAATAAAATTTTGAAGACTTCACATGAGTATCCCTACACTGACAATTTTGGCAGGTATAATTATGAAAAATTTACTTTAGATTAGAGTGACTGTGACCCTTTAAAGAGAGATAGCCTCAAACTATGTAATTTGACATACTGAGCTACACAGTATAACTTTTATTTCAATTTCTTCAAAATTTCAAACACTACAGTGAAACCTGTATAAGATGAACACTGTTCTTATTCTACTCTAAAATAGAGAACAGATCCAAAATAGAAGGACATTAAGCCTCCCCCTCCCAATAGAGAATACTACTGACAAATTAAAGAGTGAAAGAGAAGCTGAGATTTTGGGAAGAGTAAGTTGATCCACTTAATGCATATCAAAGAGGGATCATTACAAAATTAGTTTGAAGAAAGGTGTTTCTTTAATATATTAGGAAATTGCTGAGAAAATGTATAAGTGTCACTAATTCCTATAATTGTAGAAAAACAAATAACATCAGATTTTTTATGTAGATATTTCCGATTTTAAGTGCTTAAAAGGATGGGTATCGATATGGCGAACTTTTTGAACACACGTTTCTCTTAAACCAGTCATCAAAAAATTCTATTTCGGAGATTTTTGTTTTAATTTTTTGAATACTTTTTGTTAAATCAACCAAGATTTCCTTTGTACAACTATAATATTGGGAAGTCTAAGAAAATGTTGTATATGCTATTTTGTTCAAACAAGCTGATTTATTATTATTTTAAAGATGTTTTATTTCATTCTCATATAAAATATATATAAATAAATTTTCGCATTAAATTGATGTCAATCAGTCAACATTACATAAAGGACTGTGTTTTTTTACAGAATGTTTTCAATAATTGGTTTTAAGAGAAAAACATTGTTGAATTCAGTTCTCCATATCGATTCCAATCCTTTTGTATAAATACAACCAAAAAACAACAAATGTTCCTTTTCAGTGAATAGATTAATACTGCCTACTTTTTAGTTAATTAAAGATACCTCATCCGATCTTAATTTCAACACTATCAAAAACAAAATATACACCTATTCATTTAACACACATATCCCTACTATTATTTCTATCCATGTTTCCTAGTATAAATACACATTAGGGACTGATTACTGCTATTTGTGCAATTTGAGGATGTTGATGTGTTTATGTTGCCAAGGAGAACTGACAGTCTGAGGTTACCTAAATATATCAACTCATAACCTGAGCTTCAGGTGAAAATGTGTCTACAATCATGTAAAACTCTGTGTTAAACATTTAAAATGGTGCTGTTTGTATTTTTAACAATTTTGTGCAAAATGATCATCTCATTTACTGTTCTGAAAACTGTGTGCAAATGATAACTGGGAATCTGTCATTTTGAAAAAGAAATGAAGTCAGATGATCTGATGAATTTTGATAAATCATTCTTGACAGTTGCACAAAAACATCATAAAGTTCATGAAGATATATTTCAAATAGACAAGTAGACAACATTAAGTGGTTTGTGGTAAGCACTTATGTTCAGTTATTGTATAAAAAAAAACTAGAAAATTCAGTGAGAAAATTTTCTCATTTATCATACAATTAATGAAAAAAAGGTTCTTTACACTCTTTATATGTATACTAGTGCACTCTTTGTGCAAACCCGAAAGATGTAGACAATGTGGGGAAGGAGTGATTGATATTTGAAAAATAACATGTGACTCCATTGAGAATTTCATCAAAATTCCGAACATGCAGACTTACCTAAATGAAATTCACACAAGAGGATAACAAGGCTTCTGCAATATTTCTATCACACATAAAATGAAATTCAAGAACACAATTAAGAACCTTTAAAATATTCTATGCAGGGTATATGTCAAGTTGACAGTCAAACACTAGTCTTGTCATACCTCAATCAAATCTCTTGAAACCACTTAGAAATAGATTTCTCATCCAAAAATATGATGTAAGACCATATAAGCTTGATCTTAAATAATAATTTAAAGATAACGATGAAAACCATATTTTAGATAAGTCAAAATAAACAATATGTATATAGAGGTTATCAAAAGGACAAATATTTATGAGTTAAGAAGTGTTCTACTTGAAAATGACATGTCTCAATCCTTCAATAGCATTTGTGCCTACGTTGTTTGTAGTGAGCCAAAAAATGTGGTTAATAACTATTCACTTTCAAAGTTTGCTAAGTTCATTACATGTACAAACATTATGACAAATAGGACCATCATGCTGAAAGTGCAAACATGTTGTTGTCACTGTGACCCTGGTTTACATGGTCATTCTATTTATTGCAATTTGGCCGACTGAATTAATTTTGTTTATATTTGCTAATATTTATCTATTTTTGTCATCATGATGTTAAATGTTGCAAATCATTATTTGGTGGCTATAACAATACAAAACAAAAACGAAACCACTTCTTGGTGGTGCCTCACTTTAATTCAAGTTGATAGCTAAATACATATAGACAAACACTTATGAAAATGTTAGATCCAGGCACAATGTCTTATTCTCAAACTTATATTATCTATATTCACCGTAGCATAGAGTGGTTGTAAGCAACACTTATAGATAAGCAAAACGAAACTGATGTCACCAATAAGAAAAAAAAACAAAAACAACTTTTATGATGATGAGAAGAACCATTGATTCAAAAAATGGCTTCCGATTTTTTATGGATTACTTTTGTTGTATTATCTAACTTCTACCACTACACTACATCAAAAAGCATAGGTAATTATAACATTAAGTTATAACATTTAAATTAAGTTTAAGGGTATTAAGAAGATTCAACATGTCAGTATATATCATGAATAACTAATGCTTATTTTTGCTTTTTTTAAATTTATTTTCAGATAACTGCCATCAAGCCAAATATATATGTGTGAGAAACGAACATTATGACTTTGCTCCTAATTGTTCAAAAATTGGAACACCTTTGCAGCTTATTAACAAACGAAATTGTCTCATGTCGGCATGCTTGAATAACAGTAACGTGGTAATATATAATACAAAAAGGTTTAGTTGTTCTATGTACAGCTGTGAATCAAACAGTGATGGAACTGATTGGGCATATGATTGGAAAAATGGCATGGACAATGTGGGCAAACCTTTCATATTTGCTTTTGTTTTACCACATCCTTCTCAACAAATGTGTCATAACTCATACTTCATCCAAAAGATCTTTAAAACTTTGAATATCCACAACATTTGTCCTAATATTACAACATATAAGGCAGTAAATGATGTTGAGAGATGTATGTCAACTGCATGTGATGAGAATGCAGATGTTTTAGACTTTTCAGATGGCACATGTAAAATAATGAATTGTAAGAAATGGTTTTACCATGACCTATCGCCAATGAAAATGTTGAATAAATCAGTTGTATTTACCAAGTCGAGCAGGCTAGATGAAGTTTTTCTGCATAATATACAGAGAACTAAATCAACAAGAAAATTTACAACTAAAAATTTCGAAATGACAATGAATGATAAAAGCTTATTAAAAACTATCACTGATGTGAGTTCTTTTGACACCATGCCGAGGGATCAGAATGACGTTTCTCAAGATATGAAACCAAGAGCCACAAAATCAACAATTAAAAGTTTTGATGTGGCAATAACTGATAAAAGTATATCAGACATTGAAACGAGAAAAAGTATCACTGATGTTAGATCTACTTTTTCCACAGAGGAAATGAAACCTGATCAATCACAAAATCTGGACATCAAAGTACTTCCCTTGATTATAATTGGGCCATCCTCAGGATTGATTGCTCTAATAGTGGGATGTGTAATTCGACAACGATTCAAAAGACTTGCGGCATCAAAGGTGACCTCGGAGATTTCTTCAGATTTCCCATCTTCTGAGTTTTCCATACACTCTTCAGATATTCCATCTGGCAGAAATTCTGGAGCTTCATCCTATGTTTATGCATCGCTAGATGAGTCAAAGATGCTTCCACAGCAGTTTTTTCAAAATATGACAAATCATTTATGGGAAAGTGATTCTTTCCAAGCAGGAGAATCAAATCATCTTGAAATATCTGGTGCAAGTGCCAGAATTGACCCCACGACAAATGATATGGGTGAAACAGTACCCTTACGAGGGATGCATCCTGAAGAAAGTGAACAATAGGCATACATTATTATGGCTTTTGGGATATTAATTCATTAATGATTAAGAAACCTATCCATGTGTAATTCTAATCTCAATTTACTTTAAAGGATTGGTATCGATATGGCGAACTGAATTCAACGTTGTTTTTCTTTTGAACTAATTATTGAAAACTGAAGAATGAAATACAATAGCTTTCTGAACCTTGTTGGAACAAAATAGCTTATACAACATTTTCTTACACTTCTCAATATCAAATTTGGTTGATTTAACAAAAAAGTATTAAAACAAAAAACTAAAAAAAAAATAAAAAAAAAAATAAAAAAAGTAAACCTTTTATTTCATTAACAAGATACTTTTCTAAATCAATTAAATTTCCTTTGTACACTTACAATATTGAGAGACCTAAACACGTTGTGTATATGTCATTTTGTTCCAATGAGGTTCAGATAGATGTTTCCTTTCATTCCGAACATGTGATACCAAGAACAAAAGAAGTGTCTGATGTGTTTTCTAAAACAATATAGAGAAAAGTATATAGTTTTTTTCAAATTAAACCGTTACCATTCAAAAGATGATAATTAGATTAATGATGTGTGATTTTTTGATGACTGGTTTAAGAGAAACATGTGTTCAATTCAGTTCACCATATCGATACCAATCTTTTTCAGATGTGTTATAATCAGTTTATCTTCATAAGCTGGTATAAGCAAGTATATGTTAGTATTTATCTAACAAAAATTTCTCATAAGTAAAAATATGTTAAGTCTTTGCAATGTACAAAGATGTATATAAATTACAGTATCTGTAAAAATGAGAAATATCGTATTCTCTGTAATTACCGCCCACCCTCTAATAAGCGCCCACCCCGCTTCACAAAGTAGAAAAACATTGTGGAATCAAAAAGAATTGAAGAAACTATCAGAAAAAATCATATTTACGAAAATCCATGAGCGGGCAATATCATTTACTCACCGAGAATGGATAAATACCGCATATTTGTTTTTTGATGCAGAAGTAGCCTATTCACGATTGTAACCTTGGAAAACGCTACATCCGCTAAACGCGATCTTGTATTTTTAAACAAAATGAGATCGTAATTGCATATTTAGCCGTTTTTGGCTTTTTTTTTTTTAATAATTTGTAAAAAATCATCTAATTGAAAAGGAGCATGTAAGATATGGCAAGTCATTTTTAAAGGGCTATATCTTTAGTTCTAAGAATACTTTAACCACAAAAAAAATGGTTCTGTTAGATCCATGTCTTGTCTTCAATAAATGACAGTAGGATGATAATCAAGTTGAATGGATTATCTCTTAAGATGTTCCTAATCCAACCATCTTCACCAATTTTCCCTAATTCTGACGCAATTTTCACCAAATATGCAGCATTTTATTTCAGCTTTTATGGCAAAATTACAATTTATTGTAAGGAATGATCTACCTCTAAAAAGGAAAACTTGATTACTTTGGGATAAGATAATCCAAAATCAATAACTCTTTTAGGCCGAATTTTGGACCTAAAAGTAGCAATTTTTTAATGAGATTAATGCACGAAAACATTGAGCTATGTCACATGATTGATTTCCAAAAAGAAAAAAAATGATCTAAATGAGATAAGCATTATCTGATAATCCATTTGTCATTTTTACCTCATAGGCCATGACCTTAGTGTGAAGTGTATGAAAAGATGTCACTTAGAGCGATGTACCCTATTTTATGCAATGATGTTTATAAATAGAGTTATATATGTTCCATAGATGGCATGATATATTCTTCATAGGTGAGTGCTTAATACCCTGTGTATTCATTGTTGCATAATTGTGTATTATAGAAATGACCATGGATATGTCAACATGACTGTGTCGTGTAAAGTATGTACAGTAAAACATAAATGTGTTTAACACCTAGTAAAACACAAAAGAGGAAATACTTGTTTATATATTTGTATTGTATAGTGTAAATGAATATTTGAAATATTACACATTTGCGATGTTTCAACAAACAGGATTCAATACCATCTTATTTGAATTAACTCTTCCCATGTGTATCTTTCTTTATCATCAACCATAATGGGTGTTTCGAAAGTGCCTTCTGTTAAGGGGTTTGCTGTAAATGATCTTTCGAATAGTGTTATATGTAGTAGGTATTGATACAGGTACCACTGTATACAGAGTACATGCAAATAATAATTTTCTCAAATGGTTTGGCCAAACATTTGTTGCATTTTTTTGTTCATTTCAAATTTTATTGGATTGTTTTTGCTGATTGGGATTTTTATGGAATAAACAGTTTAATGCTATGGGTTTTACCCTTTGACAATAGGTATATTGCCTTGTGTAATTATGATATTGTCACTCGATCACTCTATATTCTCAGTCAATACTTCGGGCTTTGTATGAAAAACCTTATACCTCGTACCCACGTAACCGTGTACTTGGGGCATGATACATTATTTGAAGAGTTCAATTCCAACATTTCAGATTATTCAGATTATATGAATTGTAGGTGCATTAATGCACTCGTAGACCTACGTGTATGTCTTATAGATCTAACATTTTTCTAGTCATAAATAAGGCCAGAATTGCAAAATTGTTTACCTTTGCTATTTTATCCTCGATAAAAAATGCCTAATTGAAATGCTCGTTCACTATAGAACCAATCTACACTAAAATGTTTTTTATTTGCTGAGAAATTTCAGGAAGTCATCTAAAAGGTGTCACTTATATTGCAACATTTAGATTGCTCCCCCATTTAATATGGAATCATCATCCACTGTTAAAGGGGACCACCACCATGGTCACATGATCAGTCGTGTGGAGGTAAGCTCCCAGTTGAAATAAAAGCACTGTCCTCCTTTGGTTTATGTGAAAAGTAGCTAATACCCTCATGTATTGGTCAGTTTGTGTGTCACACGACTAATCCACACCATATGCTTCATTCAACATATTTTATGCTATTAAGCTGCATATAAAAACACTACTTTGCAGTAAAAACGAACTACTGGATGAACTAAGGTTAGGGTAATTAAATTAGTTGTTTCTCATTCTTGCCCGCGTGTGGCCCAATCCCCCCTCCACCTTTTTTCTGCCATTTCTGAGAAAAAACACCGTACCTCGCGCGCATCCATGGCGTGTGAAACACTTTTTTTTTACTTTTTATGGATCAGGATAATTGACAATATCGTGGTACTGATATATGATCAAATATACCAGTAAAGTAGGCTAAATTTAACATAAACTCAGTTTATTTCCTTCAAAATTAGTTATTTGTTTTTACAGTTATTTTAAAGAAAAAAATCATCCCGTCCCTCATCAGCATTTTAGATAGACAAAAAAGGTAATATAAAAACTGTCATTCCCGTATCAATTTTGAAAATTAGAAGAAAGAGAAACAACTAATTTAATTACCTTGGCCTAACATAAAATACAAAGCCACTAGCTAGCTCATACAGTATACTTACCCCTTGCAAATTGTAATTTATTGAATTCACAGTAAACCCATCAATTTAAAAAAAACAAAGAATATTGTTCTCATGGATCTATTATTCATGTTAAACTCACTATGAAAATATAAATATGAAATAATATGTTAGCTTGAAGTCATATATAAGATGAAAATATATGTTCATGTATTTGCATTTCTCCATAAGGGAATATACTCACTTATATTCCCATGTAAGTAAATACAGGTGCAATATATAATTTATATGTATATCTATGTCATCTGCATTCTATACATGCGCGTATAATATCGTGATACATTTGAACAAGATGGTTCTGGAAAGAAATGAGCGTGGCAGATTTGCTAAAAAGCCACATACACCACAAAAGCAAGACCAATTTGAAAGGAAGTTCATTATTCTCAAGGGTACACTTCAAGTGAAAGCTACATTGCTACAGGGTGGCCTATCATTCTGAGACAAATGTATTATCCAACGATTGTGATTTTCGAAGCTAAAATATGATATCTTGAGCAGATGGAAATACATTCCCATGAGATATGTATATATAGTCAAAAGTGATAACTATTATTGAGTGTAATGAAACGTATCCTTCGCTAACTGCATTTGTTTGAGATAATTATCATGAAATATTTTTTAATTAATTTTTATGTGTGTCATTGATCCTAATCCACCCTGTAGTCTGGTGTTTGTAGAGCATTGCACCTCGTACAACTTATTCTCACAAATATCAAACCTCATTTACTAATTAATTTTTTGTGTGAATATGAAGAGTCCAAGCATTGCTTTTTTATGTTTACTGTGTAGCTATATTTAGCCTTGATATCCATGATTTTTTAAAACAAAATCTCACTGTTAGATTTTGAGCTATTCATGTTTACTCATTTTTCTAATTGGAAAACAATGCAAATCTCATTTTTTCAAAGGAAAAAAATTGAAATTCTAAGCCGGTGAAAAATCATTAAAAAATACACAGATTCAGAATCCTGCAAGCATTTTCCCTTATTCCTCTCCGTTAAGAAGTTTTGCAAGGTGTTGTGCACAACTGCACAAATTACACTGTCGTGTGTTGGGGTGAATTTACGATTCCTGAGACTACAATTATCTTTATTCATGCTGTGATTAAATAAAATGATACATAGAATACCCTGACATATTCAAAACTTTTTTAAAACTTATTTAGAATGGATTTTCTCTATTGAAAAGTCCTTTGAATGGCGCTATTTTGACAATCAATGAAAAACTAAAATTAACAATTCTGGCTTTATTTTATGACTCTATATCTATCTTTGACTAGACGAATTTCACATCTATGGATACTATGGATGTATTTATACCTCAGATAGCATTAAGATTGAATAATCTTTTAAAACTTTAAAAATTGAACCCTTCAAAAACTGTATCACCACCCACGTACATGGGTATGAGGTACGAAGCCAATACTTCGTAAAGAAATCATGAAATAACAACATGTAGAACAAGGCATTAACATTACAAAATGTCACCACCTTGTAGTTTTAGTCAAATCTTGAAAAGAAAATGGTTATATCACCCTTGGTATACGCAGCTGACGAAATGGACCGGTACGGGTCAAAAGCTGGACCGGTTCGGGTTAACGGTTTTATTTGAATTTAAAACTGCCATAACTTATTCAATATTGACTTTTTTAGTTTCTAAGTTGAAATATATGATGCCTCTGAATGATTTTAAGTTCCCTAAATTTTTACAGATTTTTAAACGGAACAAATTCTCGAGAGAAGACCAAAAATAGCATTTAGAGATTTTTGTTCCGTTTAAAATCTGTAAAAATTTGGGGTGCTTAAAATCATTCGGAGGGATCATATATTCCAAATTAGACACAAAGAAGTCAATATTGAGCACGTTTTGGC